TAAAATCTGAGAAATGAAATCTAAAATATGAGAAATGAAGATGTAGAGAAGATATGGTGTGGGAGGTATGAGCTGAGCCTCTGGTTTTATAGAAAAATTTAGACAGATAGAGATGACACGTGGCGCAATTTTAGAGGATGAAAATCTTATCTGAAATTTGAAATTCAAATGAAATTTGGAATTGGAAATGTATCTGGAATTTGAATTTCGAAATGTATCTGAAATTCAAATTTTGAATTTATCTCAAATTTGAAATTTGAAATTTATCTGAAATTTGAAACCGAAAATCTTATCCGATATGAATAGTATTGACACGTAGGAACCCAAAAATCTTATTCAAAAATATTATCCAAATTAATTGTTTAAATAAACAAAGTTGTGAAAAAAACAAAAAAATGAATAGTAATTGCCATGGCAAGGGGCTAACTGCTGGAAACACACATTTGCTGGGGGAGCTAGGGCAGCCACTATTCACGTAAATAATAACTGCCCTAGGACTCCCCTTGTCATGACAATGGGCTAACTGGTGGAAGTGCTCTAAGCAAAAAGAAAAAGTGTCTGCGCATTTGTCGAAGCTGGAAACCAGTGATGATTTGGATGGTATTGTTGACTATTGAGGTGGCCCCCTCGTTGCCCTTCTTTTCGAGAAAGATGACCAACCGGAGCAGAAATGGTAAAAAGTTGTTTCACGCACAGAACCGTAAAGTGAGAAATGAATTAATAAGTTTTGGGTTCTTTCGAGCGTTACATTGCTATTACAGGAGATAGATAGAAGCAATTTTCTTTTTCTTTTTAAATAGTATGTAGCACCGGCACACAATTGAAGAAATATTTCCTTGTAAGTATTCATAGCTTTTGAAATTTGGATTAGAAATCAGATTACATAGCAGGTACAAAACTGGAAACATCCCCCTACATGTACAAGTTACATCTTTACAGTGTTAATTCAGTTGGCTGGCACTTGGCACTTACAACATGGATTAACACCAGTCATAGTAGAGTGGTATATGACTAGCTGGGTAAAAGAAAAAAAGAAAAGAAAGAAGAAAATTCCAACTTTAGGAGCTGGATGAAAAGCTAAATACAAATTTTTTTAGTCCCCAAGAAGTCTCACCCCCTGGTACATTGCACCGGATTGTAGCTCATCTAAAGTATCAATGCGTCTATAGCCACTCAACTCTCGTAAACCCGTCAAGCCACGGCGTGCAAGAAAATCACGAAAATCATCTTCAGTGTACAATGTTATTTCTTCCGTACGAACTATACGGTCAGAGTCATCATAGAGGCAAAGCTTTATGGTAATTCCTGCCACAAGAAGCATAAGGCTACTTATTATAATCCAGCAAACCACCTTTCAGTTCCATATAGTATAGAAAAACTTATGCTTATTACTCCAGGAATGCAATACCTTCATCGAGGTGAAGAGTGTAATTGCCCAAAGGCATGTCCCTATCGAGACTCCGGACAACCTGATCTTCATCCTCCAACCAAAATGCCCGCTTAGTTCTTATTCTGAACGCAGACTTGATTGCCTCCTTAATCGCATCTGCAGTTCCATCAATACCAATCCTTCTGGTGTATTCCCCCAACTTGACAGTTATAATCTTTCCACAATAAGAAGAGTGGCCCTCCCCTCCTGCCATTGAAAGATAACATGCTTCAGGCATTTAACTTTCAAACTTTTACAAGATGCATATATCAGTTTCAGGTCATGCTTAGACTCTTGGTTTTATCCACACATGATTCCAAGTCTCAACAAAGGAGGTGTGCTACTGGTTGAAAGGCACGGTAAAGCTTACAGTGGAAGTGTCATGCAAGCGATTGATAGTGAGACAGAGAGAGATTGAAGCTCTTCTAAAGAGGACAGGACAAAAATCTTCCTCCACTAAACTCAGAATGCAGCATATGCTAGAAAGACACCAAATCTAAGCAATGTAGTGTGATTGTGAGGTCATGAAAATTGCATTTCTTGAGGAAAGCTGTTTAATTTAGATGAAAGGTTACAGGTCTAGAGACATTTCCACAGCCAATTGAAGTATTGTTTGAGAACTTTTTGCACTGCCATTTTAGTTGTGAAAGAAAGCTTCTTTTTTTGTTTTTTTTGGTTGAAAATTAGTTGTGAAAGAAAGCTCACCATTTCCAGGACCCTCTCTCCAATTCCAAGGAGGAACCCCACTAACTGCAACTGTATCGGCTGCAGTAATAGCAAGAGGGTCGCCATCATGATCCAACTGCCTTTCCAAATTGAGTGCTGATCGGTCGGTAGCTATAAACAAAGAGAAATTAAGAAGCTTTTTTCAATTTTTCTTTTATAACAAATTACATTCAAATTGCAAATTGAAAGACAACACATGCAAGCAAAGGAATGTATACCTTCCATAGGTCCAAATGGAATGCCTGAATCTTCAAGACCTGTACTTTTTTCAATTTATAGAATAAATAAACAATTTTAGAAAAAAAGTAAGCATAATAATAGTAAGAATTTGAAATGCTGAATAGGGTAAGTTTCAGTCAGTCTCAGCTCTCATAAATTCTCACCCTTGTCACAGAAGCGAACAAAAGATTCGAGCTTGGGAGGAGTGGGGCTCTTATAAGCACCGGCAGAAGCAGCAGCAGCATCAGTAGAAGCAGCGTTGTGGTTGTTGTTGGTTCTATCTCTGAGCAAGTCCTGGAGGTCCTCGTAATACGACATCTTGGCCGAGCGACTGCCGACTTTGACTTGGTGACGAGCCTTCTTGAACTCCTTGAGCAAGTTCCTCCACTTGTCCGTACACATGGTGGGGGAGCGGTCGAAGCCCTTTTCTCTCATCTTAGCTGAGATCTGGTCCCAGAGGTGCCTGTTGGACTTGGACGTGTTGAAAAGCCCGTCCACCTCTCTCCTAAACCCTATCAGGCTTCGCGTTTCTTCTTGGACCCACGTTTCGGCCCGTTTCTTTGGGGCTCCTGCTCCTCCTCCGCCTGCTGCTCTGCTGCCAATACTATTACTAGTAGCAGCACACAATTCTTGCTCTTCACCTTCTCCTCCGCTGCTGTTGTTCTCCCCAATCCCCACTATCATCTGATGCATCTGCTGCTGGTGCTGGCTTTCGCTTTGGTTCTGATGATGATGATGAGGTGGCGCGCTCCCATTCGCCACCACCACCTCCATCATCATCTCTCTCTCCGATTCTTCTTCTCCTCCTAGTCCTCCTCCCTTGTACAAGTCAACCGGTCGGGCCTTCTCCGAGAGGTACATGTCTATTCGTTACTGGCAAAGTGTGAAGGTTGTAGCAAAGTGGATTGGCATCTGGGTGTAGCTGATAATTGCAGAGCATAAAGAGAAGAAGAGGAAAAGACAAAAGAGGGCCTGTGGAAATGGGAAGCGCTCGTGTGTTTCCTTTGGACGCGTATTTTCTTTTTTATCAGTAGATGATCTCAGCCGCCCAACTTTCGCAAGCATTATTTTTAATTTTTACCAGGAGGGGATTTGAACTAGCTTATAAACTCGAGTGTGACATTACCTTAATCAATTGGCCTAATGCACGTCAATGAAGTTTTTTTCAGTCTTTTTCTTGTTGAAAATTAAAATGTTAGTCAAACATCAATACTTTTACGAGTATTCATGGTCAAGAAAATTGTGTTATTACACAAAATAAATTAAAAAGAACACAAATATAATTTTTATGTAAATTACATATAACATAAAGACAATTCACATGCCAAAAGACATATATTCTACACAACCATTAAAGTGTTGAGGTAAACATGAACAAAATCTTGATCTGATGACGATCACTTATGCATTGTTGTCTACCAACATTCTAGACAATCCCTGATTTTCCATCATTTTATCTATGACTTTCTTCAGTGCAGGTGCACTCACCCCGCACTTCTGATCAACAAAACAAGATCTACCTTCTTCAGCTGCCTTGCAAAGCTGGGGGTCCAATGGTACCTTCCCCAGAAAAGGTACCCCCATTTCCCTGCACATTTTTTCAGCTCCACCACGGCTGCTATCAAACACTTCAGTGCAAGCTATTGTGCTTAGAAATTCCGGCGCTCTCTCTTTCAGATGCTCCCTTGCCCATTCTGTGACGTCTATTTGCTCACCGGCTTCTGTCATCCTCAAAAATTTGAAATCCATCACTGGCTGGCACAAGCCACTCATATTCTCAACAATCCCAAGGACCTGAACTCCAACTTTCTTGCAGAAACTTACTTCTTTCCGAACATCAATCAGGGAGACCTGTTGTGGAGTGGTGACTATGATTGCACCGTCTATTGAACCAGCATCGAGGTATTGAACAATTGAAATGTGCTCATCTGAGGTCCCAGGAGGAGCATCAACTACTAGAAAATCAAGCTCACCCCAATAAACATCTTTCAAGAATTGCTTAATGAGCGCATTTTTGCGCGGCCCCCTCCATATAACAGCGTCATCAGGTTCTGGAAGCATGAATCCAATTGACATGACCCCAAGGTTGGACTCAACATATACAGGAGACCAGCCAAGGTTGCTCTGGTGGATTTCTTGGCCTTCTAGGCCAAGCATCTTTGGGATGCTCGGGCCACAAATGTCAATGTCAAGTAGACCCACCTGGAAGTCCATAGCTGCTAGTGCAAATGCAAGTTGGGCGGAGAATGTGCTCTTGCCAACTCCACCTTTTCCTGATAAAACCAGTATCTTATGCTTTACAGTGGCCATCCTTTCTGCAATTGCAACCACGTCTGTACAAAAACAATATACAAATCATGAATACAAAAGCACATCATCCTTAAGTCATATAAGATATTTTGCATGGAGGAAAAAGAACTCCTACATGGAATTAAAACTTGCGCAGTTGCACAAATGAAGAAAATCACAGAAGGGTTACTGAAATTGTATGCACTTGCATAAATTGGACGCCTTGTAACAATACCTAATGAAACTTTGAAATACAGCTTAGCTACTGATAAATGTAAGTTGTAACGCCTTGTAGTCTCTATTTTTTTTTCTTTTTTGATTTTGTAGATTATCCCCCTTCCCACAACAACACCATCAAAGATATAACAAGGTATAAGCCACGTAATTATAAAATTAAGTTTGGATTTCGGAGGCAGCACATAAATTATAGCTGAATCGCCAACTTCATGAAGTTCACATAAAAGCATCTACTTTGGCTTGTTCATCTAAATGCTAGTCATAGCTGAATCACTCACAGCAGCACAAAATAAAGAATTTACAAATATCACCGGCCAATATTAACCAAAAAACAATTCAAAGTTTGCAGCTTTAGCAGTAAAAGAGAGAAAGGAAACCTGGGTCAGGGCCCTTTGGAGCAGTAGCACAAATTTGTTGATTCGGGCATCCTTCGCACGCATCAGATTTTCCAGCAGAATCGGATTGAGGACCCGGGCAATCTGAGCAAAAGGTACAATTTAAAAAAATAATAATAATAATTCCAAGAGATGAAGAAGAAATTAAGACAGCCTAACTGAAAAAACCCAGCAACCTTTGAGAACTGAGATTATGAAAGAAAGCCTTACGTTCATTGGCGTTTTCGGGAATTTCACCGTTCTCCATGACGATTAGGGGTTTAACTTTTCCTTTCAAGTCTTGGCTTGGCTTTCCTGTGAATGTGACGAGGCAGAAGAAAAAAGAAAGAAAAAAGGGAAGAAGGGGAAGATTGAGAAGTTGGCGTCGGACTGAGGAGGATAGGACGCTGGGTCCTCGGAGCAGTTGAGTCACTCAGAGGGGGACAGACATGGAGAGGTATGGGCTGGGTCGACAGTCATGGAATGGGCTAGCTAGGTAGGGTTTATCGGTATTATGCAGCCCACAATGCCTCTTTAATCTTTATCAAACCGCTACATGTTGAAACATATATTTATACTCAAGGGGTTGTTGTTAATGGTTCCAATTTTTGCTTTAGTCTCATTTCAGTCCACGAACTAAATTTTTCATTTTAATAGTCATTCAACTCTCTATTTAGTATCAAATTGGTCCTACCGTCAAAGTCTGTTAATTTTATTGTTAAATTGAGGAGTAAAAGCGTACATATAATCATCACCCCAAACCCACCCAACCGTCCATATAACAGACTTTGACGGTATGGGTTTTAGATAAAAGATATCCCAACAGATCCTGACTGTTTTATGGACCGACGGTATTGTTCGGTTTGCTTCTTGGCAAACGCTTGTTGCTGACATTTATATAGATGCAAGGAAAGAAATAAAAAAGAAAAATAGATAGCAACATAAAAAACGAAATTGGTTTATATTTTATAAATGGATACAACTTATTTATTGATTATTTTGCTTAAAAACAAGATTCCACAAACTTGGTATATAACAAATAGATCAGTGCTCCGACAGCTCTCCCATAACTTTCTGCTTGACACCCCCCTGAATGGCTGCTGCTCTTCTTCTGCACCCAAAAAAACTTACTCGACTTCGATGATGATTTCCCCACTTCCCCTACCAAATTTTCTTCATAGCCCTTTGGTCCTTGGGGTTGGTAAGTCTCCCTCCAGGACAGGAACCACTTTGGCAAGAGCTAACTAAACATGTTCAAGCCATACTTCTCAACCTCTGATATACTTTCCCTCTCCTTTCTTTTTACTTTCCCCTATTTCAATCAACCTTTCTGTTGTAACCTCCTCTCATCTCTATTCTTCCCTCCTCCTTTTTTTCTGTTTTTTTTTTTTTTCATTTCCTTTTTTCCTTTTTTTTTCATTTCCCTTTTCCTTCCTCCGGTCCTCCGGAGATTATCTCCAGCTTCACAAGCTGCAAGTTCCTCATGGTAATACAACTCCTTACTGTGGCAACCAAGTATGCATTAAATAGCTTGTGCCCATTTCTGAACAGCCAACCACCCTTTGTAGATTCTAATCCACAACCAACAGCAAACGAATATGCAATGTCTTTCCATTAGCCAATAAGGCAAAATTGATACCTGTTCTCCTGACAAAAAAAGGCACACTTGGGAGCACCCTTTTCTCCATGCCTACATTTGAGTATTTTCTCCAAACAAACCATACAGAGCAAGTCTAGACAAAATGTCTCCTCATAATCAGTGTCTTGAAGGCAGCACCCACAACTAATACAGCGAGCTATGCAAAGCGTGCAAGCCCTGCACATCTGATCAACATGATGTTTCCCTTGGCAACTCTTTGCAGGGCAATCATAAACTAAACTTAGTTTCTGGCACCTGGGGCACTCTTCAACGTCGATGGCACAATCATCATCACAAGAGAGATGTGACAGCCCACCATGAAAAAACCGTGGTTTTGGTGCTCTAAACTGAACACAGTTATCTGCACCAAGCAAGAATTTCAACTCTTCAAACTGCCTCTCTGTTATACCAGAGAGACCACCAATTCTTAACTGCTTTATTCCAGGTTTGCCTGCAGACTTCAAGGTCCATAAGTTTAACAAGATGTCCTCAACACTTATTTTAAGACATCCTGGAACACTTAACTGCACAGGGAAAAAGGTGTACATTCATATTAGAAAGAACTTAAACTACATAGAAAGCAAGGTATAATGAACTCCTATAAACTTCACACATTTAGCATGATGATACGAAGAGGCAAAATACCCATAAAGAGCACTACCAGTTTACATGATAAAGACTACATTGACTTTCAATATCAGTTAACTAATCAATTGCAAAATCTACAACGAAACACTGAATACATGTTCAGCATCAAGAGCTGCATCAATTGTTAAATTTATTGATATTAATACATAGGAGATATGAAAAAATCAATCCAAAACTTATTCACTCCATTGTTCTTGACATTGTATTAGACACAACAACACACATTGGCATATAACCAAAGGTGTTCACCTTTTATTTTTTTTTTAAAACACTACAGGAATAATAGTCTTCAACCTACTTGCTATAAACGACATGAGTTCATCTCAACAGGCCTGTAAGAACAGCAAGATACAATAACTTCACCAAGTTTTATAGCCCCATGTTTGATAACTGATGGCGAACGAGATTTTCACTTTTACTTTCAATAGGAGGCACACAAGAAATGTTTTTCATAGAAAACATATATGAAATTGTAGTTATTTGTGGCTTATGGCAAAAAGCCCCTATATGAAAGTAGCCTCAGGTGTCAAATGTAACTTCAGAACATTATATTCTAAGAGAAAGCAGCATAAGAGCATCTCTTTCAAAAATTATTGTCACTGAAAATTGGAGAGATACACTGATATACAAAACCATAAACAGGAAACAGACGTGTCCAGTTCAGGAAAATAGAAAATACAAAGTTTCAAATACTCACCTTTGTCAGCTTTGGGTTGCGGTCAAACACACTCTGCAGCCCAAAGTCAGTGATATGGAGACAATGCACTAGAGTCAAGGCTTGAAGAGTGCCTTGAGCCCTGTCAGTTAACTTTATAAGAACATCATCAGTGACAATCTCATTCAACGGCCAATCAATGACAATACTCCTCCATAGGAGAGGGTCACTTCTAACTGAATCACGAAAAGACCTACAAACCTTTTCAACTGAAAGAAGGTCCTTAACACCAAGAAAACTCAATGCATAAAACATAGCATCATGTGGAGCACTCCCCTCACCATTAGGGTGCATAATGCTACAACCTTGTATGTCCTTAGTTTCGACTTGCAGTTCCTTAGCTCCATCACAAAAATCCAAGTTCCCGCTAAAACTCAGAAACTCCTCCACATTGCCATCCAACACGAAACCTCCATCATTGATCCCATACTGATCAAAGCTATCATATGGAATTGATATTCCATCAAATCTCAGGTCACAAACTTCCGGTTGAAACATCACAGCACTATTCCAAGCCCAATTGAAACCTGCCAATAATCCACCACCAAATGCTTCATGCAACCCAGAGCCATAAGATTCGTGTTCCTTTTCAAAACCTTGAAGCCAACCCGTGAGAGCAGTAAAAGTAGACCTTATCCCCATTCCAAAAGGATCAACAGGCAACCGATCCACAATATCATCAGCAGAATGGTCACAATAGCCACCCAATTCAGTCCCCCAATGGGTATTCCTCAAATCCAAATTGAAACCCCAAGAACTTGACGAATCATCACAAACACCATCCAAATTATTTTCTTTGTATTGATCCATCACATACCCATTAGAGTACCAAACAGAAGAAGGATACGCAGGCAAGACTGAGCCACGAGAGAGATTCAAAGCCATCGTTTGCAGCTAATAGATAGAAATAGAACGCGAGCTTGATGGTACCAAGAAACCTAGATTTGCTGGCAGAAGATAAATCAAGAGAGCCGACTAGGAAAGATTGAAATATAAAAGCAAGTCAAGAATACAAGGAAAACATTCCATTCCAGGAGGCAAAAAATTATAAAGAAAACAAAAGGCACCTGAAATTTTACAAGAGGTTCCTGTATTGAAGGGAAGAAAAAGAACCCAACTTTCTAATAGGTTGATTATCAAAGAAAAAGAAAAAAGTTCATAATTTGGTTAAAAGTACCAAACAAGCTGAATTCAAAGCAACGCTGTTTTCAGGATGAGGAAAGATTGGTGTTAGAGAAACCATAATCGAAATAGAGTTATTATGTGGGTGGGTTAAGCGAAAGAGACAAGGAAAGGAAAATAAGATAAACAAAAAGATTGAAACGGATTTGGAGATTAAAAAAGTGAAGCTTGAAATTACCGAATCTGATGCTGCAGAGAAAAGCAGAGGTTAATTTGACCCAACCATCCAAGCAACCGACCAACCAACGAACCAACGCAATGCGCAGAGAGGGAGAGAGAGAGGAGGAAAAGAAAACCAAAGAGAAGAAGAAAAGGGGAGGGAGGAAACAGAAATTGGAAGGTGAGAAAACAGAGCGTGCGTGCCAAATTAAGGGCGCACAGAGAGTGAGAGCAGGGAAGGTTGGGAAAAGGACGCGTGGACAGAGAGGGAGAGACTGGTGGCGGGTAACGTCTTCCTGGATGGATATTCCTGGTCCTTTAACCTCTTTCTTTACCAACACCAACAACGACTCCCTCTTCTCTTCTCCTTTTTACGCGGAGACAATTTCAAGATTCCTTGCTCTCTGTCTTACCCTTGCCTTTTGATTTTGATTTTTTTAAACTAAGGCTTTGACTTATTTACCACTCCACAAAATAAAATTTTATTTCCTTCATTAAACTCTATGATTTTGTTGGATTTCCTTTCATTAATTAAAGCACTACCACGACTGGGAATTTTGTAATTTATGTTTTCCTTTTATTCAAAGAAAACCACAAAACAAGAACTCCAATTCGATAATATAAAAAAATTTTGTTATCTCTAACGAATTATGTTTCGTCATATGAATAAGTTATCACACTTGATAAAATTTGATTAGTTGAGAATAACAAAACAATGTTATCCCCATAACATAAAAATTCTCTCTTTGGATAAGGATAGAGCTCTCTCGCGCGTGAAGACCCCATACCACCGTGAGATAACTGCCACGTCACCCAAGACTTTCTCCTCTCGTACAAAGATTCTTTTTCTCCTCTTTACTACAAGGAAAGTTTCAAACTTGAAAGAACGGAATCTCATTACCATGGTTAATCAGGTCAATAAGGGAGGACCTGCCAAATCCAATCTGGAGTTGGATCATTAAGGAGGGTTAAATCGCACAATTAGGAAAGTTTAAAAAAGATAAGCATATTGCTAATTGTAAGTTGTAAGTTGTGACACAGACATTCTATCTACTATAGTACGGATGCTCCTTTGTAAAATATATTATATTCGCAGAAGCTCCAAATCAGTCAATTTCAAGCATTTTATCTAACTTAGCATAAAGTAACCGCTAAGGTATCTTCCATTGATTATCATATAAATTATGTTTATGTCACAATCAAATGATCAAAGTGCTTTTCTCCATCCAACTTGGGATGAAGCAACAGCTCCTCATCTCACCTTTAACCGGGTATTTTGAATTTGCAAACGACATCTGGAATTTCACAATTCACATCCTCAGGTACAGATGGCTTACGAATCGAAAACACAACATTTAATTATTTTGAATCACACATCATTTCGATCGCGCACTTATTCTTAAGGCATAACTTACAAAGCTTGCAATGTAACAACACGACGTTATGGTTTATGGCACACACTGGACAAGGGCAAGCCCGAGCTGAAACTTTTAAAAGGCAAGCCTTCTACAAGGTGGGAGGAATCCAGATGTAGCCATGTGTTTGTACATAACCGGCTTTTTCTAGCAGAGCATCGGCTTCTGCAGGACCCCGACTGCCTGGTTTGTATGGAAGCGGTTTTAAATCACCATTGTCAATTCTGTGCAGAAGAGGCGTGAAGATTTCCCAGGCCGCCTGATGTGTATTAACACAATAAATCAGTCAAAAGGGAAAATGGCAGTGTGCCAAGAAAATAAGTGCACAATGTAGTTACCTTCAACTCATCTCTGCGTACAAAATGTTGCTGATCGCCTCTTATTCTGAAAAAACAAAAAACATATTCCCTTTGTCATGCTTGAATAATCAATGGGAAGATAAAATATTAAAAATCAGTTGTTTGTATCTTATGTATTATTGTTGCACGGGTCACTTCCTTGCATCCTATGTATTTGTTATTCACATGGTTTAGATATGTAATCCCTCTTTTAACATGTACCCTTCAAGTTGGCTGGACTTCAACAGTTATAAACAAAAGCAGCATATGGCTATTACATGAAAGATTCTAGAAATAGAAAGGCAGTGGACATACGTATCAAGAATTAGACGCTCATAAGCCTCTGGGATCGTTACCCCTTGATATCGTTGCCCATATGACAAGTCTAATTCACTTTGGACAGTCGACATCTCCAGTCCAGGCTGCTTGACCTGCATAACAGACATTGAGCTAGTAAGTGAACGTGATGAAGACAAAGGAGTCTCCTAGCTTTTCTCTGCTTAATGAACATGACAAATAAAGCCTGGGTTTCTATTACTTGGATTTTCAGAAACCTGTGAAGTATTCCAACACTATTGAGCAGGATTCAGATTATTGTTCAGAACTTTCTCTAAAGTTGATTAGTAATTTGACAGGAAACCAAGCACCATATGAAGGCTTTGTCTGATACTATGCACATCAGATCTGGAGATATCAGCTAAAAAATATCGTTATTGAACTCGGCAGTGAACGCATTACCGTAAGTTTCATGTACATGGCTTCTGAAGGTTGCAAGCGTATTACAAACTCATTTCTCCCTTGCTTCTTACCTAAACAATGAGGTAATAGTGAACCAAATAAGGAATTTATAATACTACCAAAAACAAAATATGGAGTGCAAAAATGTACCAACAACAACATATCGAATAATAAAGCTTTGTGTCTTACATTTGAATATGTCACCAGGCACATCCTTAAATTGAACTCTTATTTCTGCCTTTCTTGAATTTAATGCTTTCCCAGCCTTTAGTATAAAAGGAACACCTGAAGAAAATAGTGTTGATGGTGAGTAAGTTCAATGCATAATATAAATTCATATAACGACCATTATCATTAATCTGCATCTCCAATGCAAGACTACTTCCCAAATGGGAAATTACTTCCAATGAATTTTGAAAGTTACCATACCTTCCCATCTTTCATTGTGGATCCGCAGAACCACGGTTGAAAAAGTTGGAGTGTTTGAGTGGTCAGGAACAGTTGGATCATCCCTATAGCCATCATATTGTCCAAGAACAACTTCATCGTCCTCAATTGGTAGTACTGATTGAAGAACCTAAAATGTAAGTTCATTAATCATCAAGTGATACAAAAAGGAATTTGGGAACTAAGAGCACATATTATGAAAGAACATTATATGTCATATACGGTGACAGGTCAAATTGTTTTTATTTTTTGTTTCTTCTGCAAACCTGTTAATATAATTGTATGATGCCTTATCATATAGAAAGTATTTCATCATAAATGAATTGAGATGTGCATACCTTTACTTTCTCGTCCCTGATATGCTCAGGTTTTAGGGAAATAGGCTTTTCCATGGCAACTAAGCAAAGAACCTGCAGAGAAAATTAGGTATAAATAAATCAGGTGAAAATTTAAATGCCTTTTTCCCTGGTATGAAGGTTCCTTGGGAGAGAAGGTTGGAAGAAATTCTGATGCATAAAGGTTGTAGACATTTTGGAGATGGGGCCACAATACATAAGGTATACCAATTTTATATAAGTTCTCATCACAAGAGTTCGCATGCATTCTTAGTTCTTAGATCTCAAGAAAATTACAACTCTGAAACAAGTAAACTAATTGATATTCAGAGTTATTTGAAACTATTGATTCCTCAAAAATAAAGATATAAATAATATTGTATAGATGGAATTGCTAATAACGTCAAATATACCTCGAACTTAATACCAAGGTCTTACCTGCAATAGATGATTTTGAATAATATCGCGGATAATTCTGCACGAAAAAGAAAACAGATTAGTTAGTGCATCCTAATTATATTTCACAGATAAAAACCAGATACATTAACAACATAAACTTTTTTTCCCCATAGACAGCAGGAAATATGGATGCTAGTAACTCAAGATAATTTAACAATACACAACATTTATAGAGGATGAAATCATTCTTTTTCAGTACTGCTTAAGGAACAAACTGGCACAATAGCACTGTGAAGCATACCCATATTCATCAAAATATCCACCTCGACCTTCAGTTCCAAAATCCTCCCTAAACACAATCTGCCAAATAAACAGAATTTAAAAAATTAAAAGAGGGGATGAAATTTACTGCATCCTAAATGTCTGGAGGTACCACCTGTACTCTATACATTGTCAATGTTATACTGACACCCAAACATCAGCACTGAAGGAAGGATTCTCACCTGTACATTTTCAATGTTGTCTCGGTTCCAGAGGGGCAAAAAAAATCGATTTGCAAACCGAAGTACTAACTGCAAATTTACATACAAATAAAGTATAAGCCAATTTCATTAATATTAATAACCAGCAACGTCTATGCAGGTCTATGCAGATATTATAATAATACCAGATTCTGCACCAATTCCTTCCCCAAATAGTGATCAATACGGTAAATTTGTGATTCTTCGAACAACTCCCCAATCTGGGTACTGAGTTGCTCTGCAGATTCCAAATCCTTGCCGAAAGGCTTCTCAACAACAATACGAGTCCATCCACCAAGATCAGCTGAAATGATTATAAGCAGACATTTGTAAAGGTTAACACTAACCTGTCATTTAATTTCATTCTGGAACCCTTTAATGCCAACATGTATGATTGCTTGAATCGGGTAAAAAAAAAAAAGGTAATTGAAGTTATCCATGTGAATACAGCACGTTTGAAACCTAAATAGTATTGGAAAAAAGCTTACTTTTATTCATGCAACAATGCCTGATCATCCTGCAGACAGAAGGATATACTGATGGAGGAAGTGCAAGATAAAAAAGCCTGCGGGATATTCCGTCCACACCATTTCTTGAGACTTCAGTCTCTGAAATTTCTTTATCAAGCAGCCGAAACCCCTCCTCAGTGTCGTAAGAACCACTTACATATTTGATCTATAAGGAAAAATTATCAAGCAACTGAATATCTGTACAGGAATGAAATTATATGGATGGAATTATCGAAAAATGTTGCACAAGGCACTAACCAGTTGCAAAAACTTGGTTACATCTTCCAAGTCCTTTGGTGAAGCTCCTTTGTCCCGGACAAGATATCTGCAGTCATTATCAACCGTCAAATACCTCTCATTATACAGCAGTAAAAGAAAATGAACCTAACATTGGTTAAAGTGAGCAAAAAGAAGCTTGAAGTTAAGGACTGTAGTAGGAAATTTAACCATTTCCACTCATATGAATGGAAATGGACTTGCGAAAATAATGTACGGGGAAAATCGTAGGCCAGAAAGCTCACCCACGTATGCGGTTTCTTAGCTCATCATCTGAAATCTTAGTCCTTGCATAGCCAAAAATGTGAACTTCATTTGGTTGCAGAAATCCC